GCCTGCCTTTTCATTGTTGACAGAAGCATCTGTAGGTATTACATTTTTTGTTTCTGCATGTACCAAGTAATCGTTTAATGTAGTGGTAAAAAATCTAAGAGATTGCAACTTGGCTTGTGGGGGGAAAATTTCATCGTACTCTATTGTAATGTTGATGGTTGAGGAATTAGTTTCAATTACTGTGCTAATGTCTACATTTATGCAATCCAGTTTCTTTTTAACAAAAATTATCTGAGGGGTATGAAATCGAGGCCAATGTGCAAGAAAGAAAGAGTCAGGGTCGCTGATAAATGCGTACTCTGATCTTCGCGCCGGTAAACTGTAGAACTTTAAGAAGGTTTGAACCGTTAGAATGCGGAATCGACAGAGGAGTGTTGGCAATCGCGCTTCTTGATACAATACATTATTTGCCACGAACCTGGGAAGTCCCAGGCATGTTCGCAGGGCTTCTCGCTCTAACATTACTAGCGGTTTAATTTTATAACCAGCGGCCCCCGAGAATAATACACACCGAAATTCCAATATTGGTCGCACATACATTTTATATATCATTAACATCGTGTGTCTGCGCAGCCCGTATTTTCTGTTGCTTAACCTGCATAATAAACCTAACGCCCGTTGTGCCTTTGCTGTTATATATTCAATGTGTGGGCTCCAATTTAGCTTTTCATTATAAATCATTCTTAAGTACTTGACTGAATCAACTAGTGGAATAGGTTCCCCATTATACAATACAGAAATTGAAACTGTATCTGCTATAGGAAACACCAAGAACGCACTTTTACTGATGTTCAATGACAATGAAATGGATTGCAACCAAATTTCTAGTGTATTAATATATCTTTGCAGTTTTTGATGTAAAGAGTAAATGTCGCTCTCTGCAGTAAAGAACGCGATATCATCTGCATAAATGTAGACACTGACATCCTGAACAATTGGAATAGAGCTCATCAGTATATTGAATAATGCTGGAGATAGGACGGACCCTTGGGAAACACCACGTTTCTGTTTGAATTTATGCGAACAACAGCCACCCTTCACGCAATACAATTTTCTTGATTTTAGGAATTCTGCTATCCACTCAGTAATATACTGAGGAAACTTTAGACTCTGCAAGGTGGTCAGTAGAATAGAGTGCTCGACACTGTCGTACGCTTTAGCTACGTCGAGAGTTACTAATGCGGCGTACTGTTTCCTTTTACGAGCAAGCTGTATTCGACTCTCTAAATCCACATGGGCGCACCAAATTGAGCATTCACAACGAAAACCAATTTTATTTGGCTTTAATATGACCTTATTCGTCATCCAGGAGTTTATTTGGCCCTTTAGAACCCTCTCTATGAGTTTCACCATGTTCGAAGTTAGCGAGATGGGTCTGATATTTTCTATGGTAAAACCTAATCCTTGCTTTTTTATTAATGGGATTACCTTTGCTATTTTCCAGTCATACGGTATCCAGGCATTCTTTAAAGAGTAGTTTATAAGATTGAGGATGTCGCCGGGGGATAGCTTGAATAAAATTTTAATCATAAGGACTGTGATTCCATCTGGACCAGGAGCTGACGATGGTAGATCTCGAATGACTTTTGATGCTTCAGACAGTGTTACGTTTTCGAAGTCAGTGCTTATGCTAGACTTTTGCCAGTTCAAAACCATAATCGAAGAAAATCTAATTTCTAGACCTCTGCCAATTGACTCTAAAGAGTTTGCAAAATGGCGTTTCTTTCTTTTTCTCTGATGGTGGTGATGGCGATCGAGCCCCTGGCGTTGTACACGTGACCTCCAAAAAGCGCGGCGATTTGGGGGGTATCAGTAATTGATGGAACAGCCGTTTTTTTTTTTCACTCATGGGCGCTTTTTTTTTTTTTCAAGTTTTATTTCGACAAACACGTTGGTTAGGTCGTTGCACTTCAAATTTTCTTTATTTGCTCGTCGATTTGCCTTCTTTTTTTCTTCAGGGTACAGGGACCGCGTTCCAACTGTACCGCTGGGGGGTAGAATCGTTTCTGATCATGGCCAAGTTCGGGGTGCGCCTATTATGCGCGGAATTAAAAAAAATCTAATTTTCCGCGACCATACTAGGGGTGCGCCTATTATGCGAGTAAATACGGTACTTCTACGTCCTGTACAATGCCTGGGTGTGCACCCACAGAATGAAGTCTGTTTCACTACAGTCAAACCCCGCTACAACGAAACTGACGGGGTGCGGAAAAAATTTGTTGTAGTGAAGTTGAAAAAACTATAGCTGATCTGAGCTAGCGAAACAAAAGAACGTTTATTTAAAAATTCAAGAAAATGTACGCTGCTTTCCATTTTTTCCCAGCAGCGTCACGACGTGATCCTCACCCATGTATAGCGATGCCATAGTGAAAAGCACGCTAAAACAACGCCTAGCACCACTTTCGTGAACGAACCAAACAGTTCATTAACACATTAACAATGGCCCGTGTGCTCAGATTTGGGTGCACATTAAAGAACTCCAGGTGGTCGAAATATCCAGAGCCCTCCACTGCGGCGTCTCTCATAATCATATGGTGATTTTGGGACATTAAATCTCACATATCAATCATATCAACACATTAACACCAGAAGCTGTCCACTGTCAAAAGTATCTGACAACGCTGAAATGGAGGCAGGGTATCATGGAGCGGCGACTTTTGCATTATTCTAAGCCATTCTTACCATCCACCACTCGCAGCTAGCTGATTTTGTTGATAATGCGGATCAACAGCCACGCTGATTCGTTACCTCACTGACTAAGCGCGAACATAATGATAAGCATCGGAATCGAAAAAGGCATCGTGTCGCGGTTGCACCCAGAAGCTGCGAGAAGGAAACCATGAACTGAGCGACTGAGCTTCAGCTTTGGATCGTCTGCGGCTCAAAAGCAAGCCAATGGCAAAACAAAAGCAGGGCAGTCTCATAGCCATCGCTATCGAGCATTGGCGGCGCCCATGCTCGCTGAACAGCGGCGGTATAGCCGCGGTTTCTGGTGGTGCCAATGCGTGTTTTAGACTTTGTTGACACATTTTTAGGCTCTGAAAATGCATAGAAATGTTAAAAATTGGGTTTACTGCATAGCAATAAGTATCTAAGCCTGGAATCACATCGTAAAATTTTGTTGAAGTGAGACGATTGAAAAAAAAAGTGTTTGTTATGGCGACCATATTTATGCATTGACTCCTATGGGCTGCCGACAGAAAAGCGTGAATTTTTCGTTGTTGCGGAAATTTTGTTGAAGCGGCTTTCGTTGTAGCAAAGTTCGACTGTATTAGTTTCGCCATTAGGACTTTGCCACATTCAGTTACAGTTAGCCGTTTTCTGAAGAAGGTATTCAAAATCTGTAAATCATTACGTTCTGTGAACTCTACTAATGACTCCCCTTTGGCGTTGCGAGAGCCGATGCCAAATTCCCCCACCGCATGGTCTCCGGCCTGTTCCTTGCCTGCTTTGGCATTATAATCGCCCATCAGAATAGTGTACTGTGACGTTTTTTTTATTAATTGCTGACTCTATGTCTCCGTAGAAGCATTCCACCAAATGACCATCTTGGTTCGATGTAGGCACCATCAACTTGTACCTTTTGTTAAACTTAATTACGATATCTGCCACGCTCTCGGTGATGCTATAGTGTTCCTCTATGTTGCCAGCTATATCCTTGTGGACAAAAGATAGCACCTCTAGTTCTTTTCTGTGAACTAATTAACGGTAGCATAAGACGTCTCTGTTCTTCAGCGCTGTATAAGCCTTATAAGTCCTCATTACTTCGCTGAGCCCTAATGTATCTCATTAAACACCCTCTAATTCCTCAAATAGCACAGCTTAACTAGCCTCGCTGGAAAGCGTTTTAGCGTTGAATGAAGCCAAATCCAGATTTCAATGGCGGCCTGTCTGGACCTAGAGGTTCTTAGCACCCTCCACTGCGTCGCAGGTCTGACCGCTGCCTTGGACAGTTGCTTCCCAGCCTCTGGGGACTGGGGGCCAAGGGTTAATTGGTTTAGTCATGGGAGGTCGAGGCCAAGTACTGCACCTGGATGGACAATCCTGCTCTGGTAATGGAGTGCATTATTAGCTGGTGGTTGCCAGTGAGGCCGCACCCCAGACCAGTTTTTTTTTTTTTATTAGATACCCACCCACAAAAAGTTTCTCACCAGAGGAAGTTCCACAGTACTTTGTACACACATGATGAGCGAGTGTTCTTCATTGCTATTCGTGGTTGATTGCATTGGTTTATTGTAACCCTTGCACGCATTTCTTTGTTTAGATGAATTGAATACACTTTGCCCCTTGTTTTCATAGTACTTCAGGTCTTGCTTTTAGCATTTATATAGATAGTGAATTATTTTGAGCGCCCCTCTACCGGGGCTACTACTAATTCATGCCACTGCCCTGTCTGCCTTTTAATGGACCATCGACTCAGACAGGCAGTTTTTCAATTAGCTTCTAGCCAACCGTCTCTTTAGAACTCTTGCATTTCTGAAAATTAATCTGTTATGTACTGGATTCTATTATCTTCTATAGTTTTCTATGTATATATGAGCAGTTTACGGCGCTATTTCATGGTGTACAGAACTCAAGAAGTAAGATGGGACAATTCAGGGCTAAGTAACGCACATACTTTTGTCACCATTCAGGTAATATCGGTGTGCTTTTGACGCTAATGTGTAGATTAAAGCCAGCATTATCTTTAGAAGCTGGATTCGTTGCGTCATAATGTGTTTACCTCGAGCGATTGCACGTACCACTTGTTACACTTAGAAAATTTGATGTCGCGTTTGAATTCCACAAGCACTCTATAACGAAGTGGCCAGAGAAATGTGATGACTGAAAGAAATACGAATCGTTGAATACCTGTTAATGTGTACGTAGCAATGTGTATGCTGGCCCCGTTGGATCTGGTTACTTCCCGATACACAATCACCAAAGCATTTTTCGCTGGCACTATTTCGCGTTCTGTCACCTCAGTTCACCCCAATTTAAATGACGGCACCAGGACTCACCTCTTGTGAGACGCGAAGTTCAGGTACGTGGTGAATCATGCTGACCGAAGCGATGTCGGCTTCAGTTGGTAGTGCTTCTCCCAGCCTGAGGAGAAAACAGAAAACAAGGATCACTACTGAAGACCACTCCATTTTGCAGATCTCACGCAAGTATGAAAGAAGAAAACTACATTCCCTTCGATGGTGCTGGCATAGTTTATAGAAGTCCAGGGACTTCCAAATTTAAGACCTCCGTTCTTCACTTTTTGACTATTTGATGTAAGAGTGGTCACAAATGTTTTTCTGATGCAAAAACTTCGAAAGTAAGCCTTTTAGAAAGATCCAACACATGCTACTAAAAGGTAGCAAATTCTATCCCTGCCAGCAGCAAGTTGTCTATTCATTCACTTTAACTTCTGTATATTTTCATCATAACTACCCTACTAAAGAACTGCTAATAATGCCCCCGTAATCTCGTGCCCTATATGTTGGTGTTATTAGTTTGTAGCAAAAAAGAAAAAAAACAAACCCATTATCAATGCTTTGCTTTCAATGTTTTTGGCATAGCTCATATCACATAATCTACCAGTTCATAGGAATGAAAACTAGCCAAACTGAATGGCCAGAGAAAACGGGCCCTCCTGTACACAGAATGACAAAGCTGTACTCGGGAGGCCACAGGAAAATGTCTAGGTGAGCTTAAAGGATTGATTGAATACGCCTCAGAGAGGTTCTTACACGGATTGCAGCAACAGAAGTCGCCAGCATCTTAATGGCATTGAAGAGTTCGTCACAGACCGGGTCCGGAGTGCAGCGGTGACAGTGAGTTATTGTAAATTCAAAGATGAGGGCTAGTTTTTCCTTCCGGATCAAGCATACGTCCAGTGGCTTCTCTCCTAAGCTTGTGTCCAATGTTTCAGAGTTCAAATTTGTTGTATATTTTAGGAAAGGGGGGAATTCAGCGCCACCCCCTATTTTCGTTTTGCATACAGTATACACATGCACACATACAAATGCGCTCAAAAACCTAAATAAAAGGCAGTGGAACTCAACCTCTTGAAGAAAAAAAAATTCTGGTCAAGTGCCTGCTTCTTCAAAACTTTTCATCTTAAGTTAGTGCAAATTAAAGCGTGTAAAAACTTACTCTCTCAGGTCAGCTCCGCATTCAGCACAGAGGTCCTTCATGACGACGGGGTGCGTGCAAAGAGCCAGCTTCAACAACACATCCCTGAGAGAAACGATAAAAGCTAATCAATGTTGACTCGGAACCAGCGCGCGTTCAACACAAATTCCACGCGCTATTTCCGCTGACTGCATATGCACAAAAAAGACGCAACCGGCAATCGAAAACATACACACACAAGAAAACGAGGCACTCGGTGGGAGAAGGCATCAAGCGGCTCGGCGCGGGCATAAACTGACTCTGTTGCTTTGGTAACTGCACGCAACAAACGCGATAGGAACGAGAGAAACATCGAATGCGCGCGGTGTAGCGAGCCTAAGCGAAAGCATCGAAATGGACCCTTCACTTATTTCTTCGTAAGCTAGAGTTTCGATTTCGCTGCCAATCAGGCACATCCGGTCACCTGATCGCATTGATGTTAATGAGACACGGCGTGCAAACGCGGGCGCAAGAGGGAATACACATGAAACATCAGCGTTCGCGGTATTTACGACCCGTCTCTGCGTCGGGTGTTTAAGCCGAGTCATTTGAGCGTTAATGCGTACGAACTAGCTCAGCTCCTTGCCATTCTAAAACCCGATCGCGTTGTTCAAAATAAACGCGCGCGCGCTTCGCTAGATTTGAAACTGGTGCCCTCCGATTCGTCGAACGCTGCACGATCAAACAAGAATCGAACGCCGTTCGAAAAAGCCAGCCGGCGATGGCGGTTTCAGGCGTAATTAGTCGGACAGAAAAACGGAACCGTGCGGTGACGTACCCGGGGTTTACGACGTCGCCTTCTTGAGCCACAATCGTGTCCACGGTGCCGTTGCATTCGGACTTGAGTTTGCACAACTGCTGCTGCGTGCCCGCTTTTTCGGAGCCGTTCTTGTGGTACAGAAGAATGCCGGTGCCTTGAGAAATGCGGCTGCCCGCCTGGATCTTCCATTTGGCGATCTTGATCGACGCAGAGCCCGTATGCCGAAGCACAGAGGAAGTATTGTTTACGCTCTCCATGTGCCGGAGATCAATAAACAGTGCTGCCGATGGGAGGCGGCCATTACAAGAACAACAGCTCCGGACCAAATAATACAACACTAATTTCTTGATTAAAAATAAAACTTTTGCGTCGTAATACAAAAAAAAATAAACCAATGATGAGAAAATTTTGCCGTGATTGTTTGTTGAGTTTTTGTTTTATTTTTTTGTGCGAGGCTATTGTCGTTGCCATGGAATTTTTCATAACGACAGCAAAAGCGCGGCAGGGTCGAACGACGCGTGGCTATGGTGTGATGATTGAACTGCGTAAAACTGTTCGAGTGCACATTATTAGAGACACAATAATTACAGTATCTTTAATGAATGACATTTGGCTGTGCGCTACCTTAAGGGCATTCTGTGAGGCAGATTATAGCCAGCGGGGGGTCGGTGTTTAGGGCTACCCCCTCCCCTTCCTCTTCGAAATTCGGTTTGAAGGATTTATTGAGCACAAATAATAAAATGGGTGTTTTTCAGGGCCTTCAACAAGTGCCCTCACCCCGAAAAGAATTCCTGGCTATGAAACTGTCAATAACCCCCATGTTCAGAAGCGCTCCTTGACTTGCCACCAATTTTAAAGCAGCACAAACACGTTTGGAACGCGCTGCTTTTGGCGGTGCCAATGCAATACAAACGCATTTCAAAAGCCCAGCATTGAAGGTGGTGGCAAGTGAAGTTCAAGTCACGGAGCGTTTCTGAATGCGGTGGTACTCCTTGTATTCACAAACTCTTCTCGACTTGAATTCCGTGTTTCACTTGACCGAGCTGAGCACACTGCCGCCTTTCGACCCCAAATTCCTCAGTGGTGCTTACGACATGATGCCACGTATTGCTCATATGCAGCGAACGTTTTCGCTGAACGGTGTATCTGATTTGATTGATTTGTGGGGTTTAACGTCCCAGAACCACCATATGATTATGAGAGACGCCGTAGTGGAGGGATCCGGAAATTTCGACCACCTGGGGTTGTTTAACGTGCACCCAAATTTAGGCACACGGGCCTACAACATTCCCGCCTCCATCAGAAATGCAGCCGCCGCAGCCGGGTTTTAATTCCGCGACCTGCGGGTCAGCAGCCGAGTACCTAGCCACTAGACCACCGTGGCGGGGCGCCGAACGGCCATCTATACTCTCAATTCAAGATGGAGGGAAGTTCTTGAATACGGTGGTAAGCGTCGCACTTGGTGAAGTGGTTTCCCAGTCTTGTGTCAGGGTCTACGTTTCCGTTCTGCTTTTTGACAACAGAAATAAGAAAATGTAAATGTAGCCATACAGTGAAACTGTTTACGCACATTTTGATGTACATAATCAGAGATAGAAAATGGCGCAAAATAAGGCACCGACACGCCCATGTGATCATATATGTGACGTGTTGTAGTTTATGGCACTCATAGACAATTGGTCTTAGCATATAGTTCATTTATGTTACAAGGTCATATCGATCCGTTAGTTAGGCGATGGGTGCGTGAAAAAAATACTAAAGATGTGTTTATAAGATGGCTACGTGTACAAGGAACAATTCATAATGCGACAATGATCGTAGCTGAAAATGGAAAGCAATTTTCATTAGAAGTTAGGCATTCGCAGGGTAATGTAACCGAAATTTGAAAAATAACACTGGAAACGAAATATTTGCTCACTGCCTCTAAAATTACCTCTAAGCTTTCTCTTTCTTTCAATGCAAATTCACTTCTTAGTCGGACTATGTCAGGCATCCGGCGTTGTCCGCGGCAGCGTCTGCGCATCGGCACGTTATCTCTCCCCTACACTCCATTTCCAATAGCAACAGCTACTGGCGCACGCCCTTATCCTCGCCCCTAACAACCGGAGCATGTGGTGCGAGAGAGTGTAGGGGATATTAGTTGCAGTGCTTCGCCACTCTTTCTCTCACCGTTGCTTTCTCTCCTCCCTGTGCCTCACTTTCCCGTCCGCTCGCGCCTCAATCTCGGCCCTTCGCTGGCTGGGTGCCTCTCAGAACACCCGGAAATGTCTGTTGAGACACCGCTCTGAAACGCCGAGCCGAGAACGCTGTTTGTTTTGTTCACTTCATGGCCTTTTTAACCGTGCGCGCTTGCTTCTAGAGCTGGGAACGCATACCGTGTTTCTCGCGACATAAAAATGCCACGTGCGACGAAAGGTGCTATGGCTGCATGGTGTAAGAAAAAAAAAATTGGCAGATCCCACGTACATTGGGAATCGATGATATGCGAAGCACGAATGGGGAAGGTTTATATGTCAGTTTGAGGTCAAAACAACATTACGAGGCGGAGGTAAATTATGCCGTATATAACTTCCATGTAATAAATAATATGTTTGAACGTGTCATTTACCTTCATCATCTTTTCACGCCACATGATTCCAAATTTGGTACATGTGGAGCTAGCGAAACGGCCGCGAGCGTGCTATGAGCGTAGCACGTGAACACGCTATAGTCTGGCGCCAGACGTGACCAGCGTCTGTCGGCGCGGCCCAGCGGCAACCGGTGTGAATTGCAACGCGCTGCATTTCGCACCAACCACATTACCCAGAATGCGCCGCGTCGGTCTAGCTTCGTGACGAAGGGACGCCGGGCGTGCTCAAACGCGCATGCGTCACAGCAACGCCTCCTCTAGGAAGATGCCTGCCGCATGAGAAAAAAAAAAACACCTGCCACACCCTTTCCCTCCTTCATTTCGAAAATGAATGGATGGATATGGCTGCACCCTTTAGATCGGGCGGTGGCTAGCGCCACCAAGCCGTAATACTTAATGAACCCAAAACTATATTTATTTTTTTCCCTTAAAAAGTGAGTTTGAGGATTCGTACTTTGCAGTGCAATCAGATAACCTCCTTCTAGTTAAGTCTACTTGCTTAAAGTCTATTTTGCCCTCCCGGTCCCTAAACCCCAGTGCTTTGAAAAACTCTGCGCCATCATCCTGACCTATAGGGTGAAGCCCTTTACAGAACATTATCAAGTGCTCGGCAGTTTCTTCTTCCTCTCCACACGCACTGCATACTGTGTCTACCCCTTCGTATTTGGTCCGATATGTCTTGGTTCGCAGTACTCTCGTCCTTGCCTCAAACAGTAGTGAACTACCCCGAGTATTATCATAGATCCTTTCCTTGACAATTTCCTGCTTAAAAGTTCTATGGATCTCTAGTGCGGACTTCTTAATCATGCCCATTTTCCACATGTCAGTCTCCGTTTCCTTCACTTTCTTCTTAACCGATAGTTCTTTTTGGTTTGGCCACCTGCTGTTTTCTAAGTATTTACCAGTCAACTTCCTGGTTCGCTTCCTCCATTTTGTATCGACATTCTTCATGTAGAAGTAGCTGAAAACCTTCCTAGCCCAACGCTCCTCCTTCATTTCTCTCAATCGCTTCTCAAATTTTATCTTGCTGCTAGCTTCCCTGCCCTCAAATGATGTCCATCCCATATCACCTTGTACTCCCTGATTTGGTGTATTCCCGTGAGCTCCTAAAGCAAGCCTACCTATTCCACGTTGCTTAATTTCTAATCTTGCTTGAACTTCTGATCTCATGCACAAGACCGCATTGCCGAACGTCAGCCCAGGAACGATGACCCCTTTCCATATTCCTCTCACAACATTATACCTATTGTAATTCCACAGTGCGCTATTTTTCATCACTGCTGCGTTCCTGTTACCTTTAGTCGTCACGTATATTTCGTGTTCCCTCAGGTACTCGGTCCCATTGCTTATCCATACGCCCAGATATTTGTATTTATCTGTTATCTCTAGCGTGACCTCCTGTATCTTAAGCTCACTACCTTCGTTGTCATTGAAAATCATGACTGCTGATTTTTCCTTATTTAATCTAAAATCTAACCTATCTCCCTCATTACCGCAGATGTCCATCCATCTCTGCAAATCTTCCTTGTTGTTGGCCATTAGCCCTATATCATCTGCGTACATTAATGCTGGTAGTGCCTGATCAATAAGTTTTCCTTGTTTGACTAAAGAGAGGTTGAAGCCCAGCCCACTTCCCTCTAATTTGGCCTCTAATCCTTGTAGGTACATCATGAATAATAAGGGTGACATGAATAATAAGAGTAAATGTTCTCGGTCGCTAGCGTCACCTGTAGCGGACGGTGCAACAACGCAACACTTTGCATAGCCTCCAAAACAGTGGTGCACAGTTGCAGATCTCGAACAACTCTCGACTGACGCGCCTCTATGGGCCGCAGATGAAGAATGCTTAGCTGGTACCGCCCATCAGCGTGATAATACTGTCGGTCGCGAGCGCCACCGCGCGGAGCTTGTTTAAAACTGAAGGCAGGCCAACTCCGCTGGGAGCGCGAGCCATTCCTCAGGCATCTTTCTAGAGGAGGCGTTGGTCAAAGCAACGCAGTGCGGCGCGTGCCTGCGAGTATAAGCCAGGCAGATCGGCCCATGGCGTGGCAACGCCGGCATGACGCAACGAAACTAACGCTGGAGCACACGCGCATCGGGTCACGCCTAAGTGTATTTGCGCCTTTAGTGTGGCATGTAGTCATGCTCTTACATGGCACACATCTCATAATTATTATGTTTGCAACAGTCATATACCTTCGTCATCCATTCACGTGACGTAATACCAAGTTTGGCATATATGAATCTAGCGAAACGGCCCCGACAGCATCATGAGTGCGGCATGTAGTCCTGTTGTTGCATGACACACATGTCATGATTATCATGTTTGGACATGTCATTTACATATGTCGTTCGTTTGCGTCACGTAATACTGAATTTGGTACACGTGAAGCTAGCGAGACGGCCGCGAGCGCATCATGAGCGTAGCATGTAGTCCTGTTGTTGCATGACATGATTCACATGATTGTCATGCTTGCACCAGTCACATCCCGTTGTCGTTCATTCCCGTCTCGTAATACCAAGTTTGGTGTATGTGAAGCTAGCGAAACAGCTGCGAGGGCATCATGAGTGTGGTTTGTAGTCATTATGTCACATGACATGCATCTCATGATTATCATGTTTGCATCAGTCACATACCTCCGTCATCTATTCGCATCACGTGAC